CTACAAGCATGCACTTTGCCTCAGCTGTGTAATTACTGTCAGTCACAGCAGCTGTTAGCCTTATCAGTTTGAGCCTGTCTTTTACATATATTCGGAATAAGCATGTGTAAGTAATATAAAACGTTTGCATATTTTTCACGAGTTTGTTATTTGAGATGTAGAACGCAAGGAAAGCAGCCGCATAAAGAGACACTGCAGTGCTGGTGAAGACTCTGGGTGTTTACAGCGATTTGACTGATAAATATGAATATGTAGCTAAATTGTTAGCGGTGCCGAACAGCATTTACCATTGTTTACATCATTGTTAATGCTAGAAACTATGCATGTATAAGATTCATTTTAACAAATAAAAACACTTACAGGTTGTGGCTCACAGTCCACAGCTTTATCTTTTAAAGTTGGAGCTGCTCCTTCTTTGAGGAGTTTTAGCCGAATCCAGCATTGAACTGGAAGAGACTCAGGAAGCTGTCCTTTGTCAAATTCTAGAGCTATATTTCTTTTTCATAACTTTCTGGAACATAATTAAAATGAAATTCTAAGCGCTTTTCTCTTTTTTTGTCATGTCCTTTTGAAGCCTAAATACAGAAACAGAAGAGGCTTTGTGGAAATAGGAGCGTTTAGAAGGCATTTTAGCTTTCTCTGCTATCACAGAGCTTCCTGTGGCCATGCCCCTTTGCTGCATGTGGTAAGGTGCGTTCGACTTCATGCAGTGCTGCGCAGATCGATCGAAATCTGTCTTAAAGCGGTGCATGCTGGTTAGAAATCTTGTTCGCCACGTGACTGTCACATGTGCCATCAAAGTACCGCGACAGCGCTCCGAGATCAGACGGCTGATTCAGACCGTGCAGCATCTGAAGAGCGACTGCAGGAGCTCTGATGACGACACCGTTATTACACGATTGGCCGAGTTCACCACATGACAACAAACACGTGTATTTCGGGTTTATAATTGGACAACTTCCGATTCAAAAGTTTCAAAACAAACGATTTACTTTTCACACCCTCTCTATCTTGCACACATCTTACTTATTAAAAGAATACCAATATTTTACTGCAGTAATCATCTTTTGTTAAATAATCTGGTTATAAAGACTGGCTTGTTTGCAGAGGTTTATTTTCAACTTTTTTTATACAGACAATTTACTGCATTCATCTCCGTGAACGATTTAATTGATATATTTTAGTGTATATTTTAGTGAATAACCTAAATATGAACTCAAATAGGTCTTACAGACTTGAAATAAGAAAATCATCATCATTGATCCTGCCACCCTAAAGCTCTCTTAACAAATTAAGTTAAAGAACTATTTTATTAAATAATTATAAAATGGTTTTATTATTATAATATAAATATATATTTTATTTCCTGTCTAGCAGTTTATAGGCTACCTGCTCTTTCTGGGAAACTTCTACATCGCTCACTTATTTTACCTTTTGTTCTTTTCAACACAATGTTTTTGGATTAAAGTGCTTTTTTGAAAATGCATTCATTATCCAAAATAATCTCATTTATTAAGACCTAATCAAAACACCTTGTTTTGCTTTTTACATTGGAAATTTTTATATCTATAAATGTACATATATGTAAACCCTTTTTAAGCATATTCAAACAAAAAGTATTAGCCCAAAGATTGATGTTTAACCTAGAATTTATGCTTATTGCTTTGTATTTAACAGACCTGTCCGTTTTTATGTTTATATTAACCTCTTATTTCTCTCATGCATTTGTTACGTTATTTATAATTTTCCCTTATTGTTTAAAAAGGAACTATAGTTTGTAGAGACTGTATTCTGTTTTATTTGCAAATGTTTTGTTGTTATAAATATAGATAAATAAAAAATTATGATGACTCCATGTGATCGATCATGACTGCAGCAACTTTGAGTCCCGAAGTGTCCAGCTGTCCGTCTTGACTGCTTCGTTTTCAACTCCGCCCCCGCCTGCGCTCGGCTAATCTCATTGATCATCGACTGCAGCTGAGCTTCATGTCGAACGCACCTGTAAATGCACGTAACCTGAAGCATTTGTCATCTCACTAGCCTGGATGTTTTGTTTTGTATTTTGATTATGTAATTTATATTTTACTTTATTTATGTGCATTTGTATTTTTGGATGTCTAAAGATGTTAAAATTGTATATTTGCTGTTGTTTAAATACAATAATAATTATAATAATAATAATAATAATAATAATAATAATAAATAGTCCCCAAACTTCATTAGTTGTAGGCTTTGCTAAACCAACTCTGTAAAAGCCAATGTTTCCCTTTGCATCTTTACATTTAAAGATGTTGTTTATATTCAACATCTACATTACACATTAACTAAAGTTTAAAATATGATATCTTAGTGGACCATCCCTTTAATATTGCTATTAAATTAGATAAAGGGTGGCACGTTGGCCCAGTGCTTAGCACTGTTGCAAAACATATGCTGGAATAGTTGGTGGTTCATTCTGCTGTGGCGACCCCTGATAAATAAGGAATTAAGCTGAAGGAAAATGAACTAATGACATTAGATACATATTGCTTGTATAATTTGCTATTTTTATTAAACGTTTTTATTTTTACCTCACAATTGTTGTATATTTTTGTCAATAACAAGACATTCCATTGTGGTGAAATTATGTATTATATAGGGTAAAAACACTTATTATGGCCTTAACCTGTTCCTACCCCTAAACCCAACCCTCATAGGAAATCTGTGGCAAATCTGGAATGTCAAATGATTCTGTTAAGTATGATTTTAAGCATTTTAAATTATGAGAACACAAGGCATGATATTATAAATCACCTTAACAGAGTACAACTCAGTCATACCCATGCCAGTATATAAATTCTTCCTCGTAAACCACTTCAACAAGAACATACACACAAACAAAATCAATAAACAAAAATAAGCCAATTTATATTTGAGATTTTACATCAAATCTCAATACATCATTTTTCCTAGTTCTTTTTGTCATTAAATAACTTCACATGAGAGTTCTATAAACAACAGCTTGAAAATACAGATAATTTACAGTGACATAAATAATTGCTTACATATTTTGACATTCAGCTGAGAATTTAAGAAAATTCAAGAAAAAAAAAAAACTCTTACTTTAGATAAATAATCATTTAAAAATAATTTAATTTTACCTCACAATTGTTGTATATTTTTGTCAATAATTAGACATTGTAGTGAAATGACGTATTATATAGTGTAAAAAAAACGCTTATTACAGTATATGGCCTTACCCTGCTTCTAACCCTAAGCCCAACCCTCACAGAAAACCTTAAACAGGAAAATCTAAAATACCAACAGACTCCATTAATTATGATTTTAAGCATTTTGAATTATGAGGACACAAGGCATGTCCTTGCAAATCACCTTAACAGAGTACAACTCAGTCATACCCATGTCATTATATAAATTCATCCTCTTAAACCACATAAACATGAACACACACACAAATACACAGAATCAAAAAACAAACAAAAACTAATCTATATAACAGAAAAAAATATATATATATATCATTGAGTTTTCCAGTTTTTTGCCATACCAGTTAAGTAACGTCACGTAAAAGTTCTATCACAACAGCTTAAAAATACGGATAATTTACAGTGACAGAAATAATTACATAAATCAATATTCTGACATTCAGCTGAGAGTTTAAGAGCAAAACTTGGGGAAAAAAATAAATAAATAAAAAACGTGAAATAAAGGAATGCATAACTAAGTAAAAACAATTGACATAAAATGACATTACAAATCTCAAGGCATTGAGGCAAGCATCCTGCCTTAACCTTGTTAATACGCCTCCCTCCCCCGCTTCATTTCAATTAAGAAAATTACTTTTTAGTTCAATTAACAATAATTCATGCTTAACTGAATAAAATTTATTAAACAATTAAGGCAGGCGGCGAGAGAGTGTGAGCAATGTGATTAGAAGACAACAATGTGAGCTCCTGGTGGAAAGGTAATGCGAAAATATTGTCTAGGCTGAGAAAAAAGGAATAAATAGCAAGCACAAGAAAAGCAAGGTGCGCATAAGAGACTGTCATCGCCTCTGTTGTGCTTGATCTATTACAGATAAACGTGCCACCATGGCTCGGAATACAAAGATAGCATCCTCTCTTCCCCTTGGGCGATGTCTTGCCTTTCAAAGACTATTTTCACCATATTCTGCTCTTTACAAGGATATAATGAGCCCAGGCGCCGTTTCAGATACGTGCACCAGCTTAATTTAAAGCTCTTTTCCCTTGAAGAACGCATTTAAATATGTTCTTTGTTTTAAGTAACCGCTCACTCGCACTCCTAATCATGGCGGCCCCGTACCCGACCAGAGATGATTTACGCATCCACAATTATTGGATAATCCCCACTGTCATTACTCCAGGCATCTGCTCTGTCACAGCGCTAAGAGCTTTTGGCTGCGCTTCTGTGAGGTTATTGTGCTCTCCTGTAGCGAGGCCGACCTGCCTTCATTCCGCGGAGTTAAACGCTGTTTAAGTCAATGGATTAAAATTAGGATTTTAGTGTAGATGGTTTGTGAGGGTCGCTGGTAATGTTTCCCACGAGTTTAGGTTTTGTAAAGTGAATGGCCAAATGTATATTGAGTTTGAAGGCCTTTTACAATAATGCAATAGTTACTGTAGTTGGTGTTATGATAGAGAATCTAAAAAAATCAGAAGCTATCAAACATGTTATCCACCAGAGGCCGCTGTTAACTGACTGTTTGACTGACCAATGACTGACCCACTTTCCCCCTTCCCCAAACCCAACCAATTATATATTTTAAAAGCATAGACTGACCCGCTCTCCCACTTTATTAAACCCAGCCGACAAATTTAAGAAGCAATTCAGAAAAAGAAAACCCTCGTCTGACTTTTACCACATTTTACCACATTCTCACCCTGTTGTTTACTTGTTTATTTTTATTTTTTTGTCTTCTGTTTTTATCTTATCGCTTTCTGGAACTGTTCTTCACCAGACTCAAACCCTGTCGTCATGGTCAACTCCTCTCTGCATCTCAAGTTCACTGATGTACATGGTAAACTAACTGGACAAACTGGTAACAGTCGGAAAGTCATCTATACGGAGGTAAGTGCGAAAAAAACAGCATCATACTTCACTGTAGCGTTCATTTAAAAAATGAAATGCAGCCATACGTACTTCTGGCAACATGTTTTGCGATCTCTAGAAATGTATATAGGGCTACATTTTCAGAATGAGCCTATGTTGATAAAAAAATATATAGATTATTTAAATAAGGCAAATGAGTTAACTTACTATTGCTAATGGGGTACATATATTTCAGCCAGTTTAGATTTAAGTTCGTACTCTCTGATCAAATAAAAAAGTTTATCTGGATTGTTTAGATCAAATAATTAATTATATATTTTTATCAAAGTCTTGTCACTGTGCACGCATTGTCAGCTGCGAAGCCAAGCAAAAGTAAATCAGGCTTAAAATAAAAAAGATGGCTTAAAAAGTGAAACCCATAGCCGAATCCTGGACATTTTAGAAGATTTAGAAACCGCGGACAGACAAATTTTTAAGTCCCAAAAAGGCGTGTATCAATGGGTCTCAGCAAAGCATGTGAGATTGTCTGTGACAGTGCTGACAGTTCTTGCACACACACAACGAGAAGTAGAAAACATGTAGGGCGAGAGGAGATTTTCCACTAGTTAAACGATCACGGATGTGTGGACACAAAACAAGTGTAAAAGGATGAAAATAATAAAAAGTAAATGTCACAAAATATACTTGTTTATATACCTGGGTGGCCCGCCCAAGTAAAGTCTATGTGTGGGAAGCACAAATGTTGGTAGTTTTTCAACCCTTATGTCGTTACAATACTCTGAGACCTTTATTCATCTTCTGAACACAGATTAAGATATTTTAAATAAAACCTGGAAGCTCTTTCATCCTTTATATACAGCAATTGTTCTCAACTCATTCAAAGAAAGGTACAAAAAACATCCTCAAAGCACATCATATGCCTTCAGTGGTTTAATTGAAATATTATCAAGTAACGAGAATATATTTGTGCACAAATAAAATGTGTTGGACTTGGCTATACATATTACCTTGGACAAACATACGCAATATACTGACACTCAAGAGAATAAATTGTTGAATAAATTCATTGTTTTTGTTTTATGTGCACACAAAACTGTTCTTGTAATTTGGTAATATCCAGATTAAACTACTGCAGGCATATAATCTGTTTTGAGGATGTTTTTTTGGTACCTTTCTAGACTTTGAATGAATCTGGACCATTGCTGTCTATAGAGGATGAGGGAGCTCTCAGATTTCCAACTCAGGCTCATTCTGAAAACTTAACCCTATATACAATTCTAAAGAGCACCAAATACATCCCGGGAGCTATGTTTTTTGCAGTTTTTGTTTTCACGAATCCACCAGAGGCTGCTTTATATGTTTTTTAAGATCTGAAATTTTTCTCGTGAGTGCCACTGAGAAGCCGCTGTTGACTGCCTGACTGATCGATTGACTGACCCACCCTCCTCCTTCTCTAAACCCAACCAATAGTGTTTTCAAAAGGAAAGATTGACATGAGCACCCAATTCCCTAAACTCAACCGACAGTGTTTTTAAAAGCAATCCAGAAAAACAATAGCCCTTGCGGCAGTCTGATTTTTACCTCGTTTTCAGATTTTACCGTCATATTGTTAATAGCATAAATTGTTATGTACACTAAAGTGTTACCATATGTTTTTGTTGTTGTTGTTTTTGTGATGGCTTTACATAAATGTCATTAAATGCTAAATATTTATAGGTTACAAGTCATAGACGATAATGTTGTCATTTGAGTTTTAATTATCTTTTGGGTTTAAAATCTATGCTGTGTTAATGTCACATGACAAAAGGCCACAGTAACTGATGGTTCTTCAATGTATCATAATTATTCACTGCATGTCTTTATCCTATGTGAAGATGCTTTTGAATATTCACAACTTGCATTCATTTGCTGTTTGCTTTGACAGACACACCAATCTGTGAGATTGCCTACAGTAACTGAAAAGATGCTTCAGTATAAAAGTACTAGCAGGCCAAACTCCACCATTCATTCACACAGACAAGCAGAATGTGCACACTGCATATTTAAATAGTCTTCTGTGGTTTAACATACACAGAAAATCGTCCACATTGCGATTTGATTAGGTGTACAGTACTACTTTGGATTTTTTCATCCAACATTTCCTGAAGTCTTTGTCATGTATTATAGTAAATTCAATTTTTATAGCCAAATTCTGTTATTCTGTCCACGTTTCCCACATTACATATCAACTTACACTTTTAAAGTGAATGAGTCGTGTTGAAATAAGCAAATGGCTCATATTAATACCACCAAGTAAGCCTTTAAACTTATAAAAAATGCACCAGTACATTCACAATAACATATACATAATTTTCTATGTAAAGTCAACTGGCTGTGCATTTATTTATGTATTAAATTATGGCAGTTACATGGTTTATGGGGATTAGTGTCATGTATAGTAAGCTTATATAGTACTGTATGTACAGTATACAAATTTTGTTGTGTGTAATACTGAAGTGGCGATTGGTGACGCAGAAGGTAGCACGTTCGCCTGGTCGCTGGTTCGAGCCTCGGCTGGGTCAGTTGGCATTTCGTTGTTAGTTTGTATGTTCTCCCTGTGTTAGCGCTGGGTTTCCTCCGGGTGCTCCGGTTTCCCCAAGTCCAAAGACGTAGTGAATATAGGTGAATTGAATAAACTAAACTGGCCATAGTGTTTGTGTGTGAATGAGTGTGTGTGTGTGTGTGTGTGTGTGTGTGTGTGTGTGTGTGTGGATGTTTCCCAGTACTGGATTGCAGCTAGAAGGGCATCTGCTGTGTAAAACATATGCTGGATAAGTTGGCACTTCATTCCACTGTGGCGATCATTTTGACGGAATGATAACCTAGGATAAAATTTTCATGGTTTCACTGTACGACGGTATACTGCTCTTAAATTGTGTTCTATATTTTTAAATGTCGGGTGTTTCCCCATTGAACACAATATATTTCATTTTAAACATGTCAGGCTAATAATTAAATCATTGACTTCTGCTGTCTTCATTGGTTGCAAAAACAGATTTCTTTACATCTTTGGATATCTTTCTGTTCTGTGGATATAAAGTAAACCCTCTGCACTATTCAGCTCTGTAACATGTATATAGCATCTATAGCAGATGTTTGCTGAATCGTGGCCTGCCCAATAGCTTTTGATGTGGACATACTGTTTCCCCTAAAAAAAAAGTAAAACACATAAAAAAAAACACTTTAATATACCGTGGGAATTGTATAACAGACAATTTTGGCGGTTTTAAACCTTGACTTTTCCAAACCATTGTAAACCTTGAAACGTGTTATTGTGCCATGTCTTCTGATAAATAAAGGGACTAAACTTTCATTTAAAATGTCACTTTTTTAAATACAACTTTATTTCTTGCAAGTATGAGTTTTTAAGCTGTCTTGCAGTTCTGAATTTATTTTATACATTTTTTTTGGATTGATACAGTTGAAACCAGAAGTTTACATACACTGTAGAAAAAGGCACTTAACCATTTAAAAAGGTCAGATGTTAATGTGACTAAACTTTTTCTCTATTAGGTAAATTAGGATTATTGAAAATGTGTTTCTGTTATGCTTAATTGCAGAATAATGAGAGTTTTTTTTTTGAGAAATTGTATCTTTTCTTGAAAGTGAAGTTGATAATTAGATTATTATGCCTCTGAAAAAGCTCAGATGATGGTGTCAATGTTTTGGAAGTTTCTGATTGGCTAACTGACAACATTTGAGTTAATTGGAAGCGCAACTGTAGAGTAGTATTTTAGGAAAACCTCAAACACACTGTTTCTTTTTGTGACAACATGGGAAAATCAACAAGCCAGAATTAACAAAAAAGTCAGATTACAATTAGCTAAATTACACTGGGAAAAGAATACTTTTTGGAGACATGCACTGTGGTCTAAGATTGAACTGTTTGGCCATAATGACCAGTGTTACATTTGGAGGACAAAGGGGAAAGCTTACAAGTCTAGGAACACCATCCCAACTGTGAAGAATGGGGGCTGCAGCATCATGTTTTGGGGCTGTTTTGCTGCAGGAGGGACTGGTTCACTTCACAGCATAGATGGCATCATGAAGAAAGAACATTATGTAGAAATACTGAAGCAACATCTTAAGACATTAGCCAGGGAATTGAAACTTGGCCACAAATGGGTCTTACAAACAGACCATGAGCCTAAGTATACTGCTAAATTAGTTAAAATGTGCTTTAAGGACAACAGAGTAACAACAAATGTTTTGGAGTGGCCATCACAATCACAAAGCTCTGATCTCAACCCTATGGAAAATTTGTGGGCAGAGTTGAAAAAGCTTGTGCAAAAAAAGACAGCCAACAAATCTGACTCAGTTACACCAACTCTGTCACTATTGTGATAAGCTTGTGGAAGGATATCAAAAACATTTGACCAAAGTTATACAGTTTAAAAGCAAAGCTAAAAAAAATGCCAAGGAAATGTATGTAAACGTTTGACTGTCTAGAAATTAATAACAAAAAATAAAAATAAAAAATAAAAAATTCTCTCATTATTCTGGCATTTAGTAAATGTAAATCATTTAGATAATCATAACGGACCTAAAATACTAAACGTTTAGTATAATTTACCATCAGGCATTTAAAAAAAAAAAGTTATGTTCCTTATTTTACAGTGTATGTAAACTTCTGGTTTCAACTGTATCTTGCAATTCTGTTTATATTGGTTAAGTTGTGACAAAGAAATCTGCGGTTGCAAAAAAATAAAGAAGCTAGAATTGTAAGTTTAATAATTTTTAAAATAATAATAATAATAATAATAATAATAATAATAATAATATGAAGGCGGCATGGTGTCACCTTCATATCACCTCACAGTGCAGTTTGCATTACTTTGTGGAGTTTGCATGGGCTTTCTCCAGGTGCTCCGGTTTCCCCCACAGTCCAAAGACATGCACTATAGTTAAATTGAATAAACTAAATTGGCCATAGTGTATGAGTGTGTGTGTGTGAATGCGAGAGTAGGTGTTTCCCAGTA